TGCTGAACATTTCCGGAAAAAAAGTTATGGGCATACCTCCCCAGCCAATTCCATGACGATTGAAAATAGCCGAAACTCTACATTTTCCAGTTCTATTAATCTTAAAAAGTCGTTAAGATGATATTGGGTAATTTTGTTTATACTCTGCGTCCAAAAAAATAGACTTAGTATCCATTTGTAAGACTTCTAGATGATGATTTACTCTCTACAACAGATCTCTCTGTCAAGAGGAAAAAAGATGACAAGGTAGAAGCTTATGGATTTCCAAAAAATTTATGGCAAGAATTTCCAATGAATTGGTGGCAAGACTTTTAAGACAATCTCATACTAGCCTAGCAATTTGCTATGGGTGTATTTTGTAGAACAACTCTTTTATCGTGAAAATTTTATAATTTAAAGTCAAATGCATTCAACTGCTATAATCAGTCTTATAAAGTCCCAAAAAGGCTTGTTGATTTTTTTGCTTTTAGCTTAAGTTAGCGTCCATACATCTTACATCAGATTTTGTTCCAAATAGTGGTATGACGACGTTCCATGGTTATTACCTACACCTGAGAAATCAAGATATAAACTTTATATTGCAAAAGTAGTTTTCGAGATCTATAACTTTGTGATTGCATAAAAGCTCTTAAAACTCATAGACGTAGCATAATTAGAAGGGATACGCATAAACAGAACAAACGTTTCATCAAGTTTTTGATTCATTTAGCGATCAGCCGTGGCACAAGAAACATGAACAAATCTCAATCAAACCTTGGTAAGTAGCGCTCTGTTACTAAAGAACGGTCTACACAATCCCGCAGGTGTTTCATACACTTCGAAGTTGATCATCTCTCCTTACAAAAATGAAGCGATTTCGTATTTTGGCGCTCGTCACCAAATTCGGTAAACAGTGTGTTAGTTACTGTTTACTGAATTTAAGTCTACATCTCCTCTGCGATGATGAAGAATGAATCTTTACCAATCAGCTTTCTATTCAAATATACAGTAAAGGAGAGTGAGTAGTCTCGTAAACATTTATTCAAAAACCACCCTTACAGATATATGATACATGTAAATTTTTGTAAAAGAAAGGGAATGGAACAGAATCTATAAAAATGGATAACACAGGAATCGGAAAGACGCTTTTGGCATCAGAAGAATCACAACACTTAGCACAGAGCTTACCGAGTACAAGAATCCTTGGCGGTTCATCGTCTTCATTAAAAAAAGGCAATAACATAGGGAATCTTTGAGTAGAAGATGAAGCTCCCATGGCGAAAGCGGAGCATCAGCCTACAGGCGTCGTAACGATTTAGCCAGTAAGCGTCACTAAGCACCGCCTTCGTTCATAGGGGGCGTGGCAGGAGCGGAGGGAGACTTAATTAGGTTGAACACAGCACGGTTAGCATCGTGATCGGGCTAACAAGCCAGCATTCTCGCCACGCCACTGCTGTCTGGGCGCTACCCAGACATTTAGCTGCAACAAAACAAATTCGATAAGAGAAATAAGCTCCGCAATTAGTGCGGAAAGACCAGAAAACAAGAGACAAGCTCCTAGAAAAGACATATGAATGACTATAATTGTCTCACCTGCCTCATCCACCACCTGCCATTGGAGGGCAAGACATTCCACTACCCCGTGGCAAGCCGCCGATGTTGCGTCGGAATCCACCTGAAAGCTTGCAATTCGAGAAAAAAATCTTGCCAAGAACGTAGCTAGAATCGACTGTTGCACGCAACAAACAATTTTTTACGGAAAGGCAATTTTTTATGGGGCGGAGGTACCCCAGCAATTTCCACCCTTTTGGACCCTTTTCAATGATGAGACACAGAGGGAACATCGAAAGTCCCCACGGTTCAATCGCTTCCTTTCTCCAGTTCACCTAGACCCTTTCGCTGAAGTACCGCTCAAAATTTCAAATAAAAGTAAAGTGGAGCGCATTTATGAAAATCACCTATACAATCAGCAAATTCGAAGGGAATCGTGCCGTAAGTTAAAGAGTTTGATACTGTGATAATAATTATTAAATCACCGAAACCCTACTTCTACGAATAATTATGGGGCCTCCTATTATTTTATATGCGTTAAATAGCTGATCGTAACCGAAAGACCTTTTAAAGTGCGTTCCATAGGACAAATCTAAGTCAGATTATGCGTCCACGTGACTAACGAAGTTATTCTTGATTTCAAGAACATAACTGTTTACAAAAATATGGAAATTTTAAGCAGAAGTGGCAAAGCTTTACGAAGAGCTGCAAATGTCGTATTTAGTCGCTCCCTAGTTTTTGCCTCACAGCATACTTACAGGTGGGGGAGTTAGTCTGAGCACCGCGCTTGAAATAAAAATAAGGGCGCGCTTATATGCATCTGAGACTTCAAAGAAATTACATGCTCGAAGACATGCGAACATATTAGAATGTCCCAAAAGATTGTAAACATTTGTAGATAAATCAAACTGTTTTTTATCTTCCTGGCAGACTTAGGGTACCATTCGATATAGCGAAGAAAGGCTACAAACTGGTCACCAAAGATCCGCCTACATCGTAAACCAGGTAAAGCCTGGAACGAAATCGAAAAGAATTAATCACCTAAATTGGATTTTCGCGAAAAAGAAACTCCTACGGACCTAAAACTTGGTCATTATACACCAGACACATGGTAGCACTCAAATATGCCTTTACCGGATTTTGTCCGCGCTTAGAAAGTGAGAAAAAAATAGTCCAAAAATAGCAGACTCTGTCCGCAGCCAATCCCAATATGTCATTGCTCACAAGCGTTGGTAAGTACGACCTAAGAAAACTCTGTTTGTGCTTTGGTAATGAAGGAATGCAGGTTTTAAATGAGAAACCCGAGAAGAGTGACATTTTTGCATTTTCGTGTCATTTCATTTTCTCAAGCTCGAGACCCAGTAGCGCTAAGTGTCCACTGCACAATGACCAAGTCTGTTGGAATTTTATGGGAGGAGAACCGATTTTTTACAGGTAGTTGAGATTTTTGATTTTAAGATTCAAATTTTGGTGGATTACGACTTGAACGAACTTTCTCACATAATCGCCGGGGCAGGCGGTCCGCAAACTCGCGCTTTTTTGCAAGCGG